CATAGGGTAAAGCCACAGGGCTATGTTCTCCGGCCACACCCCTAATCCACCCCGGTGCCAGGCCTGAGTGACACCTGAGGCACAGAGGGCGAGGGGAGATTCTGCTTTGGGAGCAGCTCAGTCTCACAAGTGTAAGTGACTTTGACAAGGTGCAGGGCAGGGCAGAGTCAGACCCCTGTCTCTGCCACGGATCCAGCTGCCCTGGCAGGGGCTGGTGGGCTGAGAAAGGCTCTGCAGTAACCAGGGCCTCAGGTTTCCACAGGTTCTTAGAGTGCGTTCAAACCCCCTGGGCTGGAGAAAATTCTCACTGCCCTAACACGGGGGGCGCAGTTCTGCACAGATCCAGGGTAAAGGATACACGGGGGAAGGTTGGTCTTGTGATTGAGCCAGCGGGCTGGATTCAGGAGATTGAGATGCAATTCACGGCTCTGCCACAGATTCATTGGGAGACCTGGGGCAAGACTCTGCACCTCAGTTTCCCTTAGTTATAAAATGGGAACAAGGCTCCTTCCTTTGTCTGTCTGCTCTGTGTCAGTTAAGCTCTTTGGGGCAGTGTCTGTGTCTGTCTCAGCAGAGGCCTCTAGGTACTATTGTAATACAAATAACAATACTCTAGCTTATGCCATAAGATCCAGCGCCTGTCAGGGATCAATCGAGTGTGATCCACACCCCTGACATCCCCCCAGCATCAGCGGCGGAAGGATCAGGCTGTTGGCATAGTAACCCAGCGCCTCCAGCTTTACCCCACCAGGGCACTTCTCAGCAGGCCGTTTCCGGCCAGAATCTGGACCCTTTGTGCCACCCGATTGGAGCAGAGGGGATGGACGGATCCCAAGCGAGAATTCAGCGCAGCGTCTCCACACCCATGGACATCCCACAACCTCAGATTCCAAGTGGTGATTAGCTGCCCACAATAAGTGGCCACCAGGGCCGGCTCCAGTGTTTTTGCCGCCCCAAGTGGCGGGGAAAAAAAAAAAAGCCGCGATCGGCGGCACTTCGGCAGCAGCTCTACCGCCGCCACTTCATTCTCGTGCATTGTGCAGTCTCCTCAGGCCAGATCAGGTTTTTGCTGCCCAAGC